CCCCGGGACGGAAGGAGGGGGGTAGGGGACACACTGGAGGGGGGGGGGTGTCAGGTGGGAGAGGGATGGATACACACCAGGGGGACGGGGGTTGGGATGGACGTGGGGACATGGAGAAGGGGAACACAGGCAGACCATGGGGACAGACACAGGGACCTTGGGGACAGGCAGACCGTGGGGACAGACACAGGGACTCTGCCACACCAGTATCGGCATCCCCATGGCCCAGGGGTCCTGTGCCCTCCCAGCATGTCCCAGTGCTACGCAGTGCCATCCCAGTGACAGCTCAGCATGTCCCAGTAGTGGCCAGTGCATCCCAGTGCTACCCCACCATGTCCCAGTACATCCCAGGGCAATTCCAGTGCAATCCCACTGCATCCCAGTGACACCTCAGTACATTCCAGTACCATTCCAGTGCATCCCACTACACGCCTGTTTACACCAGTACATCTCAGTGCCATCCCAGTGCATTTCAATGCAACCGGGTGGCAGCCTACTCTGTCCCAGTGCTGTTCCAAGCATTCCAGTTCACCCCAGTTCCATCCCACTGTCATGCTGTTGAATTCCAGCATGTCCCAGTGAACCTCAGTGCAAGCCCAGTGTGTTCCAGTGCATTCCAATGGGCCCACACCACTATATCCCAATGCCTCATTTCGTACTGATGCCACCCCAGTGCATCCCAGTGCCACTCCGGTGCCATTCCAACACAGCCCAGTTCCATCCCAGTATGTCCCAGTGCTATTCCAGACCATATAATTACACTCCAGTTTGTCTCAGTGACATCCCACTGCATTTCAATGCCATCCTGCTTTGTCCCAGTGTCATTCCAATGTATCCCAATACAGCTCAGTACAACCTAGTTCTACCCAGTGCATCCCACTGCCGTTACAGTACATCCCAATTCATCTTGCTGCCATCCCAGTGTGTTTCAGTGTTATTCTGGTGCATCCCAGTGCCGTCTTATTGCATCCCATTGTGACACAGGGCATGTCAATACATCCCAATGCATTCCAGCTCCATCCCAGTGCATCCCAACTCCACATCAGTGCATTCCACCACCACCTCAGTGCATCCCAGTGCCATCCCAACAGCATCCCAGCACCGTCCCAGTGCATTCCAACTCCATCCTACACTTTAATGCATCCCAGTGCCATCTCAGTGCATCCCAGTGCATGCCAATGCATCCTGATGCTATTCTGCTCTCATCCCAGTGCACCCCAGCTCCATCCCAGTGCACCGCAACGCACCCTGATGCCAACCCTGTGCTATCCCGTGGCACCCCAGCTTCATTCCAGTGCATCCCAGCACCCTCCCAGTGCATCCCAGCCCCATCTCAGCACCTTCCCAGTGCATCCCGGTGCCATCAAATTGCATCCCAGCTCCACCGCAGTGCATCCCAGTGCCATCCCAGTGCACCCCAGCTCCATCCTAGTGCATTCCAGCACCCTCCCAGTGCACGCCAGTGCCAGCCCCACCCCGCAGCCCTCCCGTGCCCCCATCACCTTTTGTGTCCTCGTCCTCGATGGTGGTGTTGGTGCTATCGGACGACTCCTGCCAGCGGGACGGCAGTGGTGCAAGGGGAGAGACACAAACAGAGGGGGGTCAGAATGTGGCCCAGCCAGGAATGGGGGGGGGGGAAGAGCCCACCTGGGGCTCAGCAGGACCCCAGCGATGTTGGATGCTGTGGCGGGGGGATGGGACCTCCTGCCGTCACCATGCCCCGTGCGCGCTCCTCATCCGCTCCAGCGCCACGTCAGCCCCCTCCCCGCCCCGTGCCATGGCTGATGCTGGGGGGAGGATGGAGGTGGAAAGCGGGGCCCCTAACAACCCCAGGGGGCTAACGAACGTGGGTGAGGCGAGAAGGGAAGAGAGGCAGCAATACCTTTATGCCGTCCGCGGGGTTATGAATTACGGTAGTTTGAGGC